AGATCTAAATTGAACATTCTAACATCACAATTAAAAGAACTAGAGCAGCAAAAACAAATTCAAAAGCTAACAGAAGACAAGAAGTAACTTAAGATCAGAGCAGAACTGAAAGAGATAGAGACATGAAAAACCCTTCAAACAATCAATGAATCTAGGAGCTGGTTTTTTGAAAAGATTAACAAAATAGATAGACCACCAGCCAGACTAATAAAGAAGAAAAGAGAGATGAATCAAATAGATGCAATAAAAAATGATAAAGGGGATATCACCACCAATCCCACAGAAATACAAACTACCATCAGAGAATACTATAAACAGCTCTATGCAAATAAACCAGAAAATGTAGAGGAAATGGATAAATTCCTGGACACTTACACCCTCCCAAGACTAAACCAGGAAGAAGTTGAATCCCTGAATAGACCAATAACAAGTTCTGAAATTGAGGCAGCTATTAATAGCCTACCAACTGAAAGAAGTCCAGGACCAGACAGTTTCATAGCCAAATTTGGCCAGAGGTTCAAAGAGCAGCTGGTAACATTGCTTCTGAAACTATTCCAAATAATAGAAAAAGAGGGACTCCTCCCTAACTCATTTCATGAGGCAAACATCATCCTGACACCAAAACATGGCAGAGACACAACAAAAAAAGAAAATTTGAGGCTAATATCCCTGATGAACATCAATGTGAAAATCCTCAATAAAATACTGGCAAACCAAATCCAGCAGCACATCCAAAAGCTTATCCACCATGATCAATCAAGTCGGCTTCATCCCTGGGATGCAAGGCTGGTTCAACACACACAAATCAATAAATGTAATCCATCACATAAACAAAACCAATGACCAAAAACACATGATTATCTCAATAGATGCAGAGAAGGCCTTTGACAAAATTCAACACCCCTTCATGCTAAAAACTCTCAATAAACCAGATAATGATGGAACGTACCTCAATATAATAAGAGATATTTATGACAAACCCTCAGCCAATATCATACTGAATGGACAAAAACTGGAAGCATTCACTTTGAAAACTGGCACAAGGCAAGGATGTCCACTCTCACCACTCCTCTTTAACATAGTATTGGAAGTTCTGGCCAGGGCAATCAGTCAAGAGAAGGAAATAAATGATATTCAATTAGGAAAACAGAAAGTCAAATTGTCCCTATTTGCAGATGACATGATTGCATATTTAGAAGACCCCATCGTCTCAGCCCAAAATCTCCTTAAGCAACGTCAGCAAAGTCTCAGGAAACAAAATCAATGTGCAAAAATCACAAGCATTCCTATACACCAATAACAGACAAACAGAGAGCCAACTCATGAGTGAACTCCCATTCACAATTGCTAAAAAAAAAATAAAACACCTAGGAATACAACTTACAAGGGATGTAAAGGACCTCTTCAAGAACTGCAAACCACTGCTCAAGGAAGTAAGAGAGGACACAAACAAATGGAAAAACATTCCATGCTCATGGTTAAGAAGAATATCATGAAAATGGCCATACTACCGAAAGTTACATAAGATTTATCGACTTCACATCAGCATTTAAGTATCGTTAACTTTATGTAATAGTATTTGGGTTGGGGATTGGTTCGTTTCCACTTGAACGAAGGATAGTTGTATTATGTTAGGCATAATTATGGCCTTATTATTGTCTTTATTTGAAGATTCCGTATGATCTCAGGAGATGTGGATGGGTTCAAGTTGTCAAGGGGTGGTTAATACTGAGTGTCAACTTGGTTGTATTGAAGGATACAACCTGGATGTGTCTGTGACAGTGTTGCCAAAGAAGATTAATATTTGTCAGTGGGCTGGGAAAGGCAGACCCACCCTTAAGCTGGGTGGGCACCATCCAATCAGCTGCCAGTGCAGGTAGAATATAAGCAGGCAGAAAAATGTGATAAGAGAGACTGGCCTAGACTCCCAGACTACATCTTTCTCCCGTGTTGGATGCTTCTTGCCCTAGAACATCAGACTCCAAGTTATTCAGTTTTGGAACTCAGACTGGCTCTCCTTGCTCCTCAGACTGAAGATGACCTGTTGTGGGATCTTGTAATCATGTGAGTTAATAAACTCATCTATCTATCTATGTATATAGATAGATAGATAGATAGATAGATGATAGATAGATAGATAGATAGACAGATGAGTCATTTTCCAGATAGCTATGTTCCTCATATTCTGGTAAGTACTCACATTAGGTTGGTGCAAAAGTAGTTGTGGTTTTTTTCATTATAAGTAATGGCTTTTAATGACAAAATCAGCTTCCTCTACTTGCGCATTTGGATATAAGATGCAATAACTCCTCCACTGCTGCTAACCCGAAAGTCCTTGTACTATCCTTTGCTGATTTCTCTAAACATTCCCATACCTTTATAGAAAAGTCTTCTCAACCTACTCAGATTGTGCCAACTAGTTCTGGCTGGGATCTTTACTAATACATACACATTGAGATGGGCATTATGTCTTTAAAGACGTGGGCTAGCACTGTGGCCCTGATAGAGATAATGATTCTAAATCCAGGTACAACTATGTCTTCCCCCTCTCCTCCTTAAATGCACTAACAGTGTTTTCTCAAACCCCAAAGTATACCAAAGTCTTCTAAAAAATAAACCTAAAAATAAAAACAAAATCAAGAAGCAAGTATGAAAGGGTTTTCAAAAAGTTTTAAGCAGGGTCCAAAAATTTAAATCAGATAAAATGCAGAGTTATAGTATTGCAGAGTTAACAAAAAGCAATGTCTCTTAATCAATCCCTACTATCTCAAAAAGCACAAGGGTAAGGCCGAGCACGGTAGCTCACACCTGTAATCCAAGCACTTTGGGAGGCTGAGGCGGGCAGATCATGAGGTCAGGAGTTCGAGAGCAGCCTGACCAACATGGTGAAACCCCATCTCAACTAAAAACACAAAATTAGCTGGGGTGTGTGTGCACCTGTAATTAGTGGTGGTGTGCACCTGTAATTCCAGCTACTCAGGAGGCTGAGGCAGGAGAATCACTTGAACCCGGGAAGTGGAGGTTGCAGTGAGCCGAGATCATGCCACTGTACTCCAGCCTGGTGACAAAGCGAGACTCCATTTCAAAAATAATAATAATCATCATCATCATCATCATCAAAATAAATTGAACCTAGGACTGGGCACGGTGGCTCATGCCTGAAATCCCAGCACTTTGGGAGGCTGAGGCGGGTGGATCACCTGAGATCAGGAGTTTGAGACCAGCCTGGCCAACACAGTGAAAACCCATCTCTACTAAAAATACAAAAATTAGCCAGCCGTGCTGCTGCCCACCTGTAATTCCAGCTACTTGGAAGGCAGATACAGGAGAATCGCTTGAACCCAGGAGGCAGAGTTTGTAGTGACCCGAGATCATGCCACTGCACTCCAGTCTGGGTGACAGAGCAAGACTCCTTCTCAAAAACAAATACATAAATAAATAAAATTTAAAAATAATTTTAAAAAACACCTTACCTAGCATGGGGATTCAGATGGTGGGTGGGTATAGATTCTAAGCCACTGTGTGGGGACCTCAGGCATAGAAGTATGTGACTTTCTATCAAATGCTCTGCAAGTAACGTAACTTGGTTTCAGTCTGTGTCTACCTCTTTCTGCCTTGCTACCAACTTATAAATTTCCTTTGTGTCATGAGTCAAATGTCCTGGAGAAATAAACTGTATTTGTTCACCTTCAGGCTGGGTCACAAGAGTCAGCTGCCAGCATTTGAATGAGCAACATCCCTCAAAGACAGGCACCTATCCCTGGTGCAATTAGCTGTGACTGAGAGAAGTTCCAGATCCTGATGGCTACTCAGCAGGAGGATGGATAGGGAAAACTAGATTTTGGCATCTCATGAAAAATCAGACTATTTGGAAACAATGAGTCTATATTTCCATAGACAACAGGGGGAAGGAGCACCTTAATATTGTAATTTGAAGCTTATCACTTATTTATGTTAATTACCTGGCTTTTTTAGAGATTTGCGTTTGAGAACTCCTAAGTTCCTTCCAGCTTTAATATTCTTCAAGATTCTGTATTCTTCTGGATTCCTTTACACTGAAAACATTGCAGATTGACATGGGCCTCATTGAACAGATAATTTGGAAATGAGCCAGAAATGCATTTTATGTATCCACCAATTTGATTTTCTAAATAGGGACTCTACATTTCCATACTATAAAGCCATTATTCTCCTCTACTAGAATTGCTGTAATTCTCAATATGCCATGTATTATCATCATCCTGTCAAAATGAAAATCTCACAGAGAGCCTGTGAGGGTCTTATCAAATCAAGTGGAAGTGATTAAGGACAGTAGAAAAAAATAGAACAATTATCTATACACTATTAAATAATGCAAAGGATGAGGATCCAACTAGTCTCGGATTTTTAGAGGTAAGGTTTGTGATTTGATATTTTGTTGACTCAATAGCAATTTATCAATTCATTAATGATTAAACCATTTATCGAAACTGTGAATGACAAAGCAATCAGAGACTGGGATAATCAGACTCCAAGTCAGTTCTTTGTGTAAAATTCAAATGCACCCAGCACAATACAATTTTGTATTTAATGTCATTCATCTAATCAGCGTATTTCTGCTCCAATGTGAGATCTTTGTTTGAACATGATATGTGACAGATATGGAAGCCACAAAAATTTCATTTATATAATCATAACAAGCACATTTATCATGGTTGTCAAAATTAATTAAACCTAATTCATTCTATTTTCTAAACTTAAAATTGACACAAAACACTTGTTTTGAAAAGCAAAAATGCTAAAGAATCACAGAAATAAGTATAAAAGTGAATCTTTTTAAATGCCTACCTCTTGTGTAGGTTAGAGAGCTAAGTAATATTAAGACAGATTACATCCGCCAAACATTTTAAAAGATCAATTGAATATGAACATTCACTCTGTGAACATCTTAACCTTTGGCTTCTTTTAAGTAATAATGAGTCTCACTAGTGCAATTACAATAATAGTAAACTTGTGAAACTTCCATTAACACACTACTCCTCAGGGAAATATGCTTTTCTAAGACAAGGGACACCTTTATTTCAGATTGCACTGTCATCTTGATCTTCCTCCAGTTAGAGTAAGAGTTCTGCCTACAAAAGTGCTTCTCAAACTGCACTGTAAGTCAGAAACATTTGGAGAGCCTGTTAAACATGCAGATTCTGGGGCTTCACCCTGATCTGGATTCAAAAGGTCTCAGCAAAGTCTGAAAAATCTGCATTTTTAACAAGTATCCTATGTAGTTCTGTTGTAGCCGATCCAAGGACTATGCCTTGAGAAACATTGACCTATACAATCTTTTCTTTCCCCCTTTGCATTATGTTGTTTTGAATCCTTGCATTATAAATCTTTTCAGTATCTCTCAAGTGCTTTTTGCACACCCTAATGAGCTCCACTAATTCCCTGGGTCTCACGACCTCTCATTAGCCTGAATTGGAAGAAGTTACGATTTCTACTTTTTCTTTCTCCAGATTCATACCATTCAGGCCTTCACACATGTGCATCTCCTTTCAAAGCAACAATTAACTGTATCCTTCTGGAAAGCTTCCAGTCTTTCCTAAGCCAATCAGATTCCCAAGAGTTTCAGAGCAGGAGCTCTTCAAGTAAATACGTAGGGGCTGCTTCTTTCACTGAAACCTCCCTGTTACCTAGGAGAGCTCATCTATGACTTTGGTGCTCTCCACACTGCTCCACAGAATGGACCAAATACAACAAAGGACAAAGAGCTCAGTCCCTTTCGTTTAAAATCTCATTAGCAGCTGAAGAAAAAACAAAGTTGCCAGTAAGCAGCTAGGATTGTCTTTTCTTGAAAATTCACAATTGCCTGTTGACATGAATTAGCCAAGTTATCGCTGAGCCCTCATACTACAGAGAGAAAATAGATATTAAACTATCACCTGGGAAGCCACTTAGGGAGCTTTTCATATGACCAATGCCTGAGCCCTGCCCTAGACTAGGATTTCTCAGCTTTGGCACCACTAACATTTTGGGCTGGGTAATTATTTGTTGTGAAGGGCTGTCCTGTCCATTGTAGAATATTTAGAAGCTTCACTGGACTCTACCCACTCTATCCCAGTATAACTACCCCCTCTGTTGTTACAACCAAAAATATCTCTAGACATTGCCAAATGTCCCCTGGAGGAGGAAGAACAAAATCTCCCCCATTTGAGACCCATGGTCCTATACCAATTAGTTCAGAATTTCTAGGTGTGAAGCCTGATATTCTTTAAAAGCCCCTCCCAGATAATTCCAGTATACGTCCAGGGTTTAGAGCCACTGGCTTACGCAGGTATCTGAGACTCAGTTTTCTCACCTTTAAAATGGGTATGACGAGGATATCTACTTTACAGAGTTGTTCTAAAGATCAAATGAGATAGTATGTGGTGGAAATGTTTTATGCATCATTAAATAAATGTAATATTTCTTCCACCTATTGTGAAACACTAATCCAGGTGTTGTCAAACTAACCCTGCAGGTCAAATCTAATTCATTCTCTGCTTTCATATAACTTGTGAACTAAGAGTCGTTGGTACATTTTTTCATGGCTGGCCAAAAATCAAAGTAAGAATATTTTTGGCTCATGAAAATTAGATGAATTTCAAATTCCTGTATCTATAAATAAAGTTGTATTGAAACACAGGTATACTCATTTATTTATAGATAGTCTGTGGATGCTTTTACATTTTAAGTTGCATAGTTATGGCAGATATTTTATGGCTCACAAAGCCTAAAATTTTTGCTATCTAGCCCTTTATATTGAAAATTTGCCCCATCCCTTAATCACAATTTAAAATATTCAAGCTAGTTTCTTTTCCTGGCTCACAAGTCCTTTTCAAATCTGCTTGGGAGCGCTGCCCTGCTCTCCATAGAAAAGCTTCAATTACGTAAGCGATAAATCTTTTCCTACCGTCTTGCTATGCGTGCGGCATCATCAGTCCTGACATCCAAACCAATTTTCAGGTGGGCATCCATTCATTCTCTTCAGGATGGCCACAACACAGGCAGAGGGAGATTTGAACAGAAGATGGCAACATAATGGCTAAAGCAAGATGCTATACTGCTGGCTTTGAAGGAGAAGGAAGGAATTATGAGCCAAGGAATATAAGAAACTCAGCTTCGGAATCTGGAAAAGGCAAGGAAACAGACTTTGCCCTAGGGTCTCTGGAAAGAGTGGGTCCTGCTGATAGCTTGATTTCTGCCCAGTGAAACTCATTTCAGACTTCTGACCTACAGAACTAAAGAATAAATGCCTGTTGTTTCAAATAACCAAATTTGTAGTAGTTTGTAACAGCAACCTAGGAAACTAATATAGTGTGTAAGACTACTGTTGCCTTAGCACAAATTGAGGCAGTGGCACAAAATAGTACTAGTAGGCATTGTGCTTGTTACCACCATATGCTGTTTTATTAAAAACGTCAGTTGCACTTGTCTTACATGGAGCAGTGAAAAGTATTCATGTTAGAAATATTGACCCTTGAGAACATGGTCTTTAAATATTTTGTATGACAAATGGAAAATATGCATAAAGCACTTCTGCTACATCTTGAAGTATAATCGTTGCCTCAAAGACAAACACTTGTGCAATTTAAAAGCAACACTTTTCATGAAACACCATTTGTAGTGAAAAGAATTACTGACAGACAAACTTTGGTTATTCAGACTTGCGTTTTTGGCAGATGTTTCTCTAAAATTAACAAAGTGAGCCTGTCACTTCAAGGAAACCAACTGACAGCATTATTTGTCAATTACAAAATCAAGTTTGCACGTAAAATTTGAGTTTTACAAAACTTGTAGTAGATACTATTTAATCCAGGGCCTGGTAGCTGGACTTATTCTCTCCTTTTGAATCAGAGGCTGCTGCTGTAAATATGCTCTACCATATCCTCAATCAAGCCAAGAAGCAACTGAGCATGATTCTCCTCTTTGAGCTTATTGGAGATGGAGGTACTGGAGTAGCACTCTATGTCTTGCATCCAGCATGGTTCAATCCAGATGTTACATGGGACAGAAAGAATAACCCAGAACCCGGGAACAAACTGGGTCCCAGTAATCAATACAAGTTCTACTCAGTTAATGTGGATTACAGCAAACCAAAGAAAGAAGGTCTTGTAAAACTGCTTTGGAATGAAGGTCTTCTAGAAGCCATCTCCACAATTGTCCACTTAACTAAGAAATTTTTATTCCCTAAATGCATGAAATCATGTTGATGTATTGTGTTGGAGGTTACACTCATTCATAAATATTTGAAACTTAGAAAAAAAGAAAACTTGTGTCTGCCACCATAAGCTTTACAGCTTTCTGAAATATAAATACTTTCCTGATAAGATCAATTGTGATAGTAACAAATGTAATATTTTTAGTATTGTGCCACAAAATATGTCAATATTTGAAAAGGTCTGCATAGCCCAGTGAAGCAATATTTTTAAAATAATCAATGCATGATGCTACAAAATCATGTATAGGTAAAAATTCCATTCCAGGTGAGCATAGGCAAATGGATTTTTCATATATGAAAACACAAACAGTTCATTGATACAGTTTCAGTTTGTATATTGGAACTAACCTCCAAGAAACTTCCAATTTGAGATGCTAGTCACCACCTGCGGAAGTTTGGCTTACAGACCCGACTCAACAGTGGATGAATGAATGCACTCTTACACCATTACAGTGATACAAGTGGGCTAGGGATGACTGTTGGCTGCTTTCAGAGAGCAAAATGCAACCAATCGACCAAGACACTCTGTCCATCCACACATTTATTCCATCAAGATTTTTTTCTTCTTCTTCATTTTATTTTTTTTTCTTTTTCCATCAAGATTTTACAACAGCGGTTCTAAGTTAGCACACTTGTAGATAATTAACATGGTTAAAAGAGTGGTTATACTAATGATAAAAGCTTTAGGCTCCAGGCCCAGAGTAAACACTATTAACAGGTAATTCCTCTTTGATCTCCCCCTGAGAGGGCTACAGCACAAAATTAACATGAGTAAACAGAGTAGAGACAAAGGGATGTGGGATAAACAGACTTAAAATGGGAAAGCCTCGTCCCTATCCTCTCCCTAACTTGATGGACCTGCCGCCTTCGCCCTGTCCCAATAAAATCTTTTGGCCTTCCAAAAGGTTTGAGACTATTCTATAACTTTTCCTAATATATCATTAATATTTTGCCAGCCACCCTGAGTGAATATCAACACCAATTGTCCAATTCTGGCATAATATCAAAAACCATCCACAATTCTCTGCATAGACTCCTTAAGAAGTCCTGTCTTTTCCAACTACATGTATGTGTGAGAAAGGACTTTCTAAATTTCACCCAGAACAATATATCACAGCAGAGTGAATGCAGAAACAGATAAGAGAATCCAGCTCTTTCCTATTAAGACAGAATTCAAAGAGATTTGCAAAAAATATAAGCCCACATTACTTTTCTCACTAAATTTTTTTGCTTTGAAAAATATAGTTATTTTCATAAAATAATTTGTGCAAACTTGTAATTGTATTGTCACTTTTAAATGAATAATTTTTTTTAATTTTTGTTTTAATTTCTAATACAGTAAATAATAATATATTTAACTCAGATAAACAAAAGCTCTTTGGGGTCTTCAAAAGTTTTTTAGAGTAAAACTAAAAAATTGGACAACTACTGCTCTAGAAAAACTCAGGGCTGGGCATAGTGGCTCATACCTGTAATCCCAATACTTTGGGAGGCCAAGGTGGGCAGATCACTTGAGTTCAGAAGTTCGAGACCAGCCTGGTCAACATGGCAAAACC